CAGCTCTGCACAAAATGGCTGTGCTCACAGATATCTCTAATCTCAGCATTTAGGAGGTAGAGGCAGGAGAATCAGGAGTTTAAAGTCATTCTCTTCTGTTTAGTGAGTTTGAAGTCAACCTGAGCTACATAAGGCCCTGTCTTAAAAAAAAAAAAAGTAGCTAGAAAATTCCAAATCCTGTCTCTGGATACCTCCTTCAGAGCTTTATATAAAGTGACCTTGTGGCATTTTCTCATGGAGTTCTGTCCAGCAGAACTGTCGTGGTAGGAAGACCATCTCCTGTCCAATCCAGAAGCCTACTCAGCCAATCTCTTGAAGTATAGATGGTGTTACTAGAAAATGAATGATTTTAATTAAGTTTGAATTCAGATTATCCTGAAGGAAAGTCTGGGATTGAAACCCCAGTGAGGGTCACGAAATCCTGGGACACTTCTAAATGGAGCATTGCCGAGCTTGGAAAGCCAAGGGATTCCTTAGTCTTTATTCTGGTCAGGCCTCCAGACAGCCTGGTGGCAGCTTGCTGTCCTGTCAGGTAGCTGCCCAGGCTGGCATAGCCCACAAACTCTGCTTGAGTGAATCCTCTTTATTAGTTTTTAGGGTCATGCACGAGGAACTTAAAAACACCAGTCTGAAGATAAACAAAACTTCCAAAGTCCTAGCTTGGGCGTTGCTTTGACCAGCTTTTGAATTATATATTCTTTGAAATGTTTCAAATGCTCCTTTTAAAGATTGACTTTTCCACGTGCAGAGCTATCTATGACCATCTAAAAAGTCACTCCAAAAAAGAGACGAAGACCTTAACTGCTCAGTTTCCAAATTAAACTACAGATTTAGCTAAAAATAGCTTGCTAGTGTTGAGAATCTGTTCCCTGAATTTAAATGGCTTCCTTCTCTCCCAGAGGACAACATTCACTGTGTTCTGTGGCAGGGGTGGACTCTTGGTAAGGCAGTTTCATGCCTTCCCAGGCTTGCAGTGCTTTCTGTATTCAAAGGACAGTGAGGAAAACTGGAAAAGTTTAGGTTCTGCATATAAATATTAAGTGAAATAGACATAAATATCAGTAGTGTTTCTCAGTTGGAGTATGTATATACATACGTCTATGGGTAAAAATTCAGCTTTGTCTGGATAATTCTGGTGCTTGCATAAAGAACCTAGGTAAATTCCTTCTTCTTTTTCTTGACTGAGGTATGGTCTGAAATAGACTTTACTTTCTTCTTTTTTTCAACCATGTTATCATGTGATATTAATACTAATATTTATATTAGTAATATAAATTACTATATGATTTATAGTAATATAAAGCAATATAAGTTACCATGTAATAATATCTAATAATATTTACCTTTACTTAGTTTCAACTGAAAGATTTCATTAAATTTAATTTGTAAAAAATTGTTATTTCAAAAGCAATCCCTACTTTCTTCACATCTGGAATTCTAGGATGACTTTTTGTCTGGCAGTGAAGACCTAAAGGTGAGAACAAGACATGGTCAGTCACAAGCTTGATGTGTAGCAAAATTCACATTTTAAAACCTACCATATATATATATATATATATATATATATATATATATATATATGCGCCCTTTTCAATAGTAAAGGAAGTATAAGGCATTTGTCATGTAAATATATTTTTTTAAGTTTTTACAGATCTCAGGATTTAGAAGGCAGAGGCAGGTGGATCTCTATGAGTTCAAGGCTAGCCTGATCTACAGAGTGAGTTCCAGGATAGCCAGAGCTACATGAGGAAACCTTGTCTCGAAAAAAAAAAAAAAAGTCTTTATTTTCATCTGTTGTATGGGCATGCATTTTAAATGATCCAAGAGGGGCTAGGGAGATGGCCCAGTCAGGAAAGTTCTTGATACTTAAGTACGAGGACCTGAGTTTGATTCCTCCCACCCATTCACCCCCACTCCCACCCCTACCCCCACATAAAAGCCCAGCACAGCTGTGCATACTGGTAATCCCAGGGCAGAGAGGCAGAAGCAGACAGACAGTCAGACAGACAGACACACACGAGACAGACATCACACACTGATGAAACACTTTTACAAAACTTACTGTTAATTTTTCTAGTGAGCACTTTGTTTAAGCTTTTGCAGATACCTCCACAGCTCTCCCTGCTAGCCCTCTGATTCACAGGAACAAAGCATTTTAACCTTAGTTAGCCAAGCTGTCTAACATCTTTGTCTTCTCCCCACCCACCTCTTTTCAAAACTGAGGTGGTTTAATTTGTATTCTTATTACTTTTTTGGACAGGACCCAGTATACCTCAGGCTTGGCTCAAACTGGCTTTGCAGTTGAGGATAACCTTTAACTTCTAATTCTTCTGTCTCCACCTCCCAAATTCTAGGATTACAGGCTCACTGCCACATCTTATTTATACAGTGCTGGGGAGAGCAGGGTTTCATGGACGCTTGGCAAGACTCTGCCAACCGAGCTGTGTCTCCAAAGCCTAACGTTCCTTCTTATTCACCCATCATCTGTCTGAGTGGCCTACCCCTGTAATCCCATCTATTCAGAAGGCTGAGGCAGAAGAATCATTTGAATTTAGAAGTTTTCAGTCAGCTTGGGTGCCACAGAGAGAGACTGTCTCTTCAAAATAAATTCTATTTTTGCTATGAAAAGTAATATAACTCAAATAAGACATAGAATATTTACATTGAAATCCCTCTGAAGTCTTATTCCTCTGCAGGTAAGCAGTCAGCATTTGGGGAACATTGCTGGTCTCTTAGACCCCAGTTGGTATGCCGCTACTTAACATTTTTATTTTATTCATGTATATGTTTGCATGTGCACACACATGTGCATGCGTGCATGTGTGCGTGCGTGTGTGTGTGTGTAGGTGCCCACAGAGACTAGATGAAAGCATCAGATCCCCAGGAGCTAGGTGAGTGCTTGCTACAGGTGGGTGTGGGACTTGAACTCTGTTCTTCAGCTAGAGGCATGCTCTCAGCCACTGAGCCATCTCTCCATCCACCCTGGCCTTTTCATTACTCATCCCTCACATTTTTGAGTGACTGTCCTATGGAAAGATGGTGACAATGACAAGGGTGAGCCAAGAGAGGAGCTAAGGCATGGGCTGGCATGACATAGAGACAATGGAGATGACCCAGGGGCAGGGCAGGCTGTGCTGTGGAGCTAAGCTGAGGAGAGGAGATCCTATGAAGGAAGGGCTAGAACAGAACAAGCCTCCTGAGAGAAGCCTCCGAGGTCATGCTCGGGCACAGCCAACATGTGCAGGCAGGAAAATCTTACAGCAGAGTAAGGGCAAAATCGAGTAACCTCAGGCCAAAGTGCAGGATGGGGTTGAAGAACCAGAAGGAGCCCACGAGAAAGCCAGCAAGGATGCAGCCTCTGTGATGTCTTCTGAGGGTGCACCTTCTCTGAGGGCAGATATGAAGTTGATCTCAGAGGGGCAGATATTACGTTTTCTGTACTTCTTGGTCGTGGAGTTTATACAGATATGTAGAACCATACAGATGCAAATGATATGACAATGAAATGGAAGGCTCTAGGGGACAAAGGGGCAGGTGGGCGTGAGGAGTGCGAGAAGACAGTGTACCAGGACGTTGGCAGATATACTTAAAGGACATTATATACTTGCAAGAAAACAGCCTTGTGTAACCTAGCATAACATCAAATATTTAACCGCGCTTCCGGGCAAGAGTCTCAGGCACACATGATGCTGATTACATTGTACTTCTCCTAAAACTTACAAGCTGAAACCCAACACCCAATGCCACTGTTATTTTTTACTGTATTATTATTTTATTTTGTACATGAATATTTTTCCTGTATGTACATCTGTACACAACACATGTGCCCATAGAGGCTAGAAGAGGACATGCGTTCCCCTGGGCCTGGAATGAATAGATGGTTGTGATGCTCCATGTGTGTGCTGGGAACTGAATGAGGGTGCTCTTGAAAAGCAGCCAGCATGCTTAGCCACTGATCCATTCATCACTCCAGCTTCTGCCGCTCTTATTTAGTGGTAGACGCTTTGAGGAAATAATACAAATTAAATGATGTTGTGGCCTCTCAGAGTTCATTGAGGTCACAGTGAGAGGCACCATGTACTAGAGAGAGGCCCCGGGAGGAGGCTTCTGTGGTCAGCAGGGTGACATTATCATCCGGGGCACTCAGCCTTCACAGCCATGACAATAAAAATTGTGTGGCTTAAACTACCTGACATTCTGTTACTGCCAGCCTCACAAACCACACAGGGCTTATCATTTGGCTTGAAGCATGTCTTTAATCTTACTAAAATAAGCTTTATAAGAATCATGTCTTCTCGGACAGTGGTGGCATGTGTCTGAGATCCCAGCACTCTAGAGGCAGAGACAGGTGTATCTCTGTGAGTGCAAGGTCAGCCTGGTCTACAGAATGAGTTCTAGGACAGCCTGTCTCAAACAACAACTACAACAAGAACAACAACAACAACAACCACCCCCAAAGTCACATCTCAAACTTATTGAGTTGTTCTTACACTCCTGGACTCTCAGCTTCTGCATCTGAATGAGGAAGACTGGCCCAACTTCTGTTTTCTGTTGTTATTTAATTTGACAGCTTTAAATCAGTACTTACTTATAGTTTCAAAATGTTTGCTTCCACACAAACTGTTCAGAAGTCATCCTTCGCAGTCTGAGTGGCTTCCTTGGAAGGCTCTAGAGCAAAAGTCGCAAGGAAATGGGCATGCTCAGACCATGTGTATGTACAATGTAGCATTTGGGGTTGCAGTTGAATTCTTGCACAGTCCTAGGTTAGTTACGACCATTGCCACTCACTGTGGAGAGGAGACTGGGCAGGGAGGAGAAACAGGCTCCAGGCCGTTCAGATGAAAAGAGGCTGTCCTAAACACAAAATGAAGTTGGGAATCGACTTCATTTCCTTAGATGTTTGACCTTATTTTTCAGCTGCTAAGAGGAAGTAAAACTATCTGACCACTTGTAGAAGACTTTATTTTTAGACGTGACTCACAATTTCAGTGGAAATTGAGTTCTGGGATGAGCATTTGGCCTCCATCTCTCCAGATTCCAGGGCTTTCTCTGCTTGTTTCCTTCTGACTCCAGTGCATACTTGGCCAAGTATGCCTCACACACTTATGGCACCAACGGTTTCTGGGTGAGAGAAAGCCGAGTCCACCCTTCATCCTGAAGTCACACATTTCTCTTTTGGATGTCTCTTTGTTCCTTCATTGACCAAAGCAGGGCTTTGGTATCTTTATTGCAGAAGTCAGAACCACGTGGCTGGAACAAGACTACTTTCATGCTCTAGACTGAGTTATGTAAGCTCCAAAAAAGCGGAGGACAACTTCGTCTGCCTCTTTCTCAGGTGAGTTGTTTTGGTGATACCTCCAGCGCTACCTATAGAAGATCCTCAAGAAGTGGTTCTGAGCTACAGGGGAATAAACGGGGGCTGCTTTTAGGATCAAAACCAAGAAAAAGTAGTTTTCTATTTGACCACTACGACAGATTTTACAGCGTGCACAGGCGTAAATGAATGGGGGAGTGTAGTGAACAGCTCTGCAAGACAGCAGGAAAAAAATGTAAGTATATGCACCATGCATGCCTGCTTTGGAAAAGAGGTCTTCAGGAGTGAAACGGTTAAAGCGCAGTGGGGACTGGCTGTGTCTGGAGGGAGTATTTATGCCTATGCCGGGAGACAGGAAGTGTGAAGTCAATGACTTGTGCTGGCAGAAAGAAGACCCAAGGGGGGGAAGGGGAGGAAGCAGGGTACCAGGGGGACGATTCTTAGTTTTTCTCTGCCTGGAAGGCTTTCTTTCATGATCGGAAGCGAGATATTGGCCAGAAAACTTCTCCCATCGCTTCAGAGAAGCTTAAAATGAGTCAAGCGTGGACTGAAGCTAAAGTTGAGAGACAGCGGCACCGTGCCCAGAACACAGTCCGAGCCTTAACATTTGAATGGAGCAAAGTGGGAACTGAGATGCCCAGACATCTAGCAACACAGTTGGTAAAGCCTTCTTACGTAATAATGATAAAAATACTTAACATTTATTTAACATTTTTACACAGGAGTGCAGGAAGAGGTTGATAGCTGTTATCTGGTGAGATTCTCAAAGACGGTGTGAGAACAGTCTCCGATTTACAAACTATCTCTCTTCACAAACACATACATGGGCTTTGCAGGCTAAGAAGTCTGCCCAAAGGAACTATATGAATAGTTTTCTCATGCCAAAGAGCAAATTTCCAAAAGTTAAGAATATTTTTTTAAAAAATGTGTAGTAAATGACTTAAGGTTTAGTTTACTTCTGTTTGGAAGGATGTGTGTGCTTGTGTGTGAAACCAATGAGGGAGAAATGCTGGATAAGATTGTACAGTAAAATAGAGGAATTGAAAACTGAATAATATTCCTTAGAACAACAAACCCCAATCTTTTAGCATTCTTTTCTATTAGTATACATATTATGTTTTCCCATAAGACAAAAAATAATTTTCAACTTATAAGTCTTAGAGTTCACATTTAATTTTTAAGACTCATACCTAGCTGAGAAAGCATATGTTCCCTAACAACCAGATGATCTCAGGTGGACGTACTAGACAATGTATGGAAGTCTGTGTCCCTTTTAAGTTCATGAGTTGGCACCATTGCCAATGGAAGTTCAGAGATGGCATGCACAGACTCAGAACCTCATGAATCGGATTGGTCCCCTTGCCACCTCAATTTTTGTTTTTCGTTTTTGAGAGAAGGTCTCATACTCCCTAGATGGCCTTGAACTGACTCTGTAGCTGAGGTTGGCTTTATACTGATGATCCTCCTGCCTCCACCCCCTCATGTGCTGGGATTACAGCAGTGAGTCGCCTATCCAGTGGATTAGTTCCCTTTTAAAAGAAGCACCGGGGAGTTAGTTTTTCCTTTATACTATGTGAGGGCTCGGTAAGGCTGTCTTCTATAAATCATAAAGTAGATCAGATGCTGAAATTGCCACTGCTTCCATCCAGGTTTGGAACTAGAAAAACTAATTTCTGAGGTTTATATGCTACCCAGCTTATGGTGTTTTGTTGTAGCAACTTGGGCAGATAAAGACAATGGATTTGTGTTCTACAATTGCACTGGCCACATGTGACTATTTAGCACTTGACACATGACTATAGTAGACAGAAGAAGTGATTCTAATTAGGTTAGTGTCTTATGACTAGTAACTACCATAGTAGCTAATCTTGATTCTTAACTTGACTGCATCTGGAATCAACCCAAGATGCTGGGTGTTACACACACACACACACACACACACACACACACACACACACACAGTATGTGTATTAAATCTATCAGTCCTATTCCTTTAGATAACCCTGCCTAATACAGATACTATGTTCAATTTGTGGCCCATCGCTTTGGAAGGACGTGGTCTACAGAACACCTAGGTGAGCCACTTGTGCAGAAAACTTTGTGGTACATAGTTACGGGAGATTTTGGCATGAGTGGCATGAAGACACATTGCAGAATGAGCTCTTCCTCTCTGTGCTCTACCACAATATTACTTATTAAGACTGTCATCTCAGGGCTTAGAGACCAAACCACTTGGGGTGGTTTCAATATGAAATTATTTCCCATAGGCTCCTGGGTCAAATGCCTGTTGGCTTTATTTTGGAAGGTGATGGAAACTTTAGAAGGCAGAGCCTCTCTAGAGGAGGTAGGTTACAAGAAGGTGCTTCTGGATCCTTTTCTTTCTCTGCTTCCTGTTTGTCAGGAGGTGAGTAGCCTCTGCCACAGGTCCCCATCATTATAAGTCTCGATCAATAGAGCCCTGGGCTTGTTAAACCATAGTATTGGAACCTCAGAACCCATGAGCTCTGAGCACCTAGCCCCTGAGGTGTTCATGTTATCTATTTGCCAGCTACGCAAACCTCAGCAACATGCTTGTGAGAATTTTTCATCCTGGGAGTGACTAGGTAACATTCCTCTCATCTCTCTTCATAAAGTCCCAGTGATAAGCCAAGGTTTGATTATGTCACTGTTCACCTGGAGGGACCAAAGAGCTTTATTAAGCTCTCAGAGAGAGCTTACTCACAGAGCAGTAGGTAAGGGGGCAGCAAGAGCCCAGATGACCTCAAAGCAGCCAGCCTGCATCATGGGTGATGGCTTCCCTCCTCTCCTAGACTTTCCAGTCCATATACTGTAGCCCCTCTCAGACCCCAGGGCCATGTGCAAATTAGGGTGGAAGTACAAACAGCTTATCAGGAGGGGTAGTCACATACTCAGGTAAGGGTCCTATGACCCTCCTGCTCTCTCCTGCTGTGAGGGAAGCTCAACAGCCAACAACTCCCGCTATGACTATCCTTTGCAACAGGCCCAGCTGAGCTTCAGAAGAAGGTGGGGGTTTGGTTCAGAGGATGTCCTGTATAACATAACCCAGGAGTCTATTGTTTCCTTTTATTATTGTAGAATTTCTGCTTGAGAGGCAGGGGATAGTTCAATGGGTAAAATGCATGTGGCACATGCATGACAATCATTTTTCACATAGAAGTCATGTGGGCTTAGAGACCAAACCACTTGGGGTGGTTTCAATATGAAATTATTTCCCATAGGCTCCTGGGTCAAATGCCTGTTGGCTTTATTTTGGAAGGTGATGGAAACTTTAGAAGGGAGAGCCTCTCTAGAGGAGGTAGGTTACAAGAAGGTGCTTCTGGATCCTTTTCTTTCTCTGCTTCCTGTTTGTCAGGAGGTGTCAGGTTCTACTATTTGTAGCTCAAGCGCTAGGGTGGAGGTAGGGAAGGGCACATCCTTGATCCTCAGAGCTCACTGGCCAGCCAGTTTAGCCCATCAGTGAGTGGTGGTTCAGTGGGAGATTCTGCCTCAAAATGGTAAAGTGGAAAGCAACTGAAAAAATACAAGATGTTGACCTCTGACCTCCACAGACACACATACAGACATATAATCCTGTGCTTTTGTGAGTGAACACACAAAAACATACATTTGCATATACCTCTCCTCCTCGACCACACACATACCACACAACACAAATTTCTACTCTAAAAGTTCTTCATCACATCTTCTCATGGTCTCCCATAGGATCATATATTCAAATTCTGGTACCCAGTTAATGGAATTTGAGGAAAAGGATTAGGAGGTGTGGCCTTGTTAGAAGAGATACGTTATTGTCTGGAGGTTTCGAAAGCCTGTGCCAGACCTAGTGTGTTTCTCTTTCTGCCTGAAATTTATGAACTTATGTGAGCTCTCAGCTACTCCAGTACCATGCCTGACTGCCTGCTGCTATGCTTCCCACCATGATGATAATGGACTATTTTAGTCAGTGTTTATTGCTGTGAAGAAACATCATGACCAAGGCAACTCTTACAGAAGCTAACATTTAATTGGGGATAGCTTACAGTTTTGAAGGTTTTAGTCCATTATCATCAATGGCAGGAAACATGGCACCTTGCAAGCAGACACATTTCTTGTGCTAGAAATGCCGAGAGTTCTATATCTTGCGTTGAAGGCAGCAGGGAGAGACTGTGTTCTACATTGGGCAGAGCTTAGGCATAGAAGATCTCAAAGTCCACCCTCATAGTGACACACTTCCTTCAGTAAGGCCACACCTACTTGAACAAGGCCACACCTCCTAGTAGAGCCATTCACTGTGGGCCAAGCATTATAACATATGAATCTATGGGGGCCAAACCTAAAACCACCACATGGACTAACCCTATGAAACTGGAAGCAACCCCTCAAATACATGCTTTCCTTTATAAGTTGCCTTGGTCATGGTATCTCTTCACAGCAATAGAACAATTACTAAGGCAGAGAATAACCTAGCATTATGTTCATGTGCGCAAATAAGTTTCAATTTTATCTTTAAACAAATGAGTGTGTTGCTGTGTATTGAGTAATAACATCTTCCTGGGATGTAGAATTGCTGATCCCAGAAAAGGAGGAGGAGAGAATTGCACTTTGAAATAACCTTTGGATTTGGGTTTCTTTTTCAAGTCTTCTGAAACTTCTTGATTGAATTTTGACAGTAAGAGATGACAATGACAGATAGTCATTGACTATCAGGAGATGCTGTTTTGTTACCAGGGGCTGCCCTGGGCTATTCCTACATTCTGAGGTGTTAGTCTTCACATACCATATGAAAACCAGTGTGATACTCTAATGTAGATACAGTCTGACCGAAGCTCTAGTCCCCCATAGACATGTGAGCTCTGTGTTCAATACTCTGGATCCTCATGGTAACCTGCTCAGACTCCCCTTTCTGGCTTCAACACCATCTTTGCATCTCTGCAGCTCAGGTCACTTTAGCTACCTTTAAGAGCTTGGTTCTGACAGAATGCCCCCCATGAAGATGGTCACACAACTAGTCTCAGTCTCAGGGTTCCTCCTGCCTCACTTTCCTCCTCCATTTTCAGCTTTCTTATCAAAGGAAAAGATGGGCCATAATGACATTTCTACACAGGTGATGATACTGAGGGATGCTCACAATGCAGCCTGTGGTGTGATGAGGAGCATGGGACCAAGGGGAATGGAGAGGTGGCTCAACATTTCTGGGCATGTTCTGCTCTTCCAGAGGACCTGAGCTTGCTTCCCAGCACTCATGCCTGGGGGCTTGCATGTACTTACAGCTCCAGGGGATCCGATGCCTCTGGTTTCAGAGGCTCCTGCACTCATGTGCACATATAGACATATATGCATAACACATAGTTAAAAATAAGTAAAATAAACTCTTTAAAAGAACACGTGTCATGGAGCAAGTTAAATTGTAATTCTGAATCTTGTGCTTCTCAGTAAATTAGGAATGACTCTATCCATCCACTGGGAGAAGGTATTAAGGGCTTGCTAGTGCCGAACAGACACACATCAGAGTACAAAACAAGAACTTCCAAACTAAAAAGGTGCCACCAGAAATGGAGTGTCTGGGTTGTCATGTGACTTCGTGGTACAGTGCTTGACTAGCAGGTATAAGGCCTTGCATCCCCCTCATGAGAAAAGGGTCTGATTTGGAGAACTAAATTTTTTTTGTTGTTTTTGTTTTTCGAGACAGGGTTTCTCTGTATAGCCCTGGCTGTCCTGGAACTCACTCTGTAGACCAGGCTGGCCTTGAACTCAGAAATCCACCTACCTCTGCCTTCCAAGTGCTGGATTAAAGGCGTGCGCCACCACTGCCCGGCAAACTAAAATTTTCTAATACTAGATGAAAATTATGTTAAAGCAAGATGAAACTCACCAAAATGTGAAGGGGTTTCTCCTCAACTTTTAAGGATTTGTTAATTGATCTCACACATAAAAATATGTTTGTGGGCTAGCAGGATGGCTTAGAGAGTAAAAGCATTTGTCTTGCAGGCCTGATGACCTGAATTCAGTGCCTAGAAGATGCCGTGGATGGCAAGACCTGCAAGTCATTTTCTGACCTCCACATATGCACATGTGTACTTATGGTCATAAAAATACATCATAAACTCATATACAATAATAAATTATACACACACATATGTACATACTTGTCAAATGTATAATGTTGGAAACCTTTGTATCAATACAAAACTTAGAGTTGATGTCATATAACTGATCTGTCTAGGTAGAAATATATCAATTAACAATGCTGATTGAAAAACCTCAAATATTACTATTATTTTTGTTTGTTTGTTTTTCAAGACAGGGTTTCTCTGTGTAGTTCTGGCTGTCCTGGAACTCACTCTGTAGACCAGGCTGGCCTCGAACTCAGAAATCTGCCTGCCTCTGCCTCCCATGTGCTGGAATTAAAGGCATGCGCCACCACTGCCCGGCCTCAAATATTATTTTTGAAGACTTATTTTAAGTTATTTTCTAAGGGACATGAGCCCTCTATATGTGTGGTTTCCCCATTCATGAATATGTTAAATTCACAGATACATCAAAATAACCGCCTCAAGAGAGCTATTTCTTCAGAACTGTAGCTTCTGGTAAGGCGTCCACACCCCATGCATGCTCCTGTGAGGACCCTAATTAATCTCGGTGGGATAGTGTTCTAGTTTGCTTTCTTCGACTGTGATAAAACACTTACCTAAGCATCTTGGGGGACAAGTGGTTATTATAGTTTAATGGTTACTGTCCATCATTGAACGAGCTCAGGACAGGAGCTCAGGACAGGAGCCTGATGCAGGCAGAGACCATGAAGGAACACTGCTGACTACCTCACTCCCACATGAGACATTACTCATGCAGATGCTTCAGAGACATGCTCACAGGTCAGTCTTAGAGAGGCAATTTCTCAACTGAAGCACCCTCTTTCCTGGTGACTCTGGTGTCACACTGACCAAAACTAAACAGTGCTACTGATCCTTCATCAATTTCACGCAAAAACACATTAATATTCTCCCATTGTCATTTTTCTTGTTTATACCAAAGACCTCACAATATAAAACGTGGTGTAGCCTTTCAATTTCCACAGTCTTTAAAAGGTTAAACATATAAAAGACCCAGGTCTCCTTCAAAATCCGAAACCTTTTAACTGTGGTGGTTTTGCAAAATAAAAACAAGTTACATGCTTTTCCTGATCTCAGTGGGAAGATCCAGGGCACAGTTAAGGTAAGAACAAAGCAAAACCAACATTCAGACATGTAAATCAAATCCAGCATCTGGGACTTATGATTTCCCAGGCTCCAAAGGGCTTGGGCAACTCCACCCCGGCTCTGCCATCTGCAGTATACAGCCTGTCTGATAGGCTCAGGCTGGCTTCACTCCACAGCATCCCACAGTCCTGGCACCTCTAACATGTTGCAATATCCACTGCAACTGAGGCTACACCTTCACCAATGGCCTCTCCAGACCTTGAATGATGCCAGCCTTCAACTTCTCTACATGACTTTCTCAATCCTGGGGTCTCCACTGCAATGGAGGCTGTACCTTCATCAATAGCCTGTCTCTAAGGCTCTCTTCAGAGACTCTGACCCTGCCTTATGGTACCAAGCCTTAACTGATCTCAATGGTCCTTTTCAAGACAAGTACTACCAGTGAGACTGTGGTTGGTAGGAGATAATTATTCTTTGGATGGCTTCCCAAGTCCTTTGGAGGAGCCCAGAAGACTGTGAGTGACTTCCAGAAGTTAGACACTAAGATTCACCATTGAACTTTGGTTTCTCTCTGATTTAATTGTGACTGTGCCTTTTTGGAGTTGTTCACTCTTGAAGTAAGAAAATATTTAACTTATTTTGACTTTGCAAGAGCCCACAGTTGTCAGAGTTTGGAGTTTGGCAGATATTTTGGAGTGTTAGAGAGATTGAGGATATTTTAGAGAGGCGTGAACTTTGAAAGAGACTTTGGATATTCTAAAGAGATTAACTTTTAAAGTGCTTGGATTTGTAAAGACTGTATGACTTTCAAAAGTTGGAATGTTTCATATTATGATATTAATATGTAATCGTGGCAATGAACAAGAAAGGGAAGGTTATATTTTTAACTGTAATGTGTTTGTGTGTTACATTAACAAGCAGTCACATTTTTATGTTTTATGGATATTTTCATAAACTTCTCAAGACCTTGAAAATCCAAAATTCATGTCTACTTGACACACACTAGAGTCATTGTAGAAGAGGGAACTTCAAATAAGAAAATGTCCTTATTAGATTGGCCTAAGAGAAAGCCTGTGGTGCATTTTTTTATTAATAAGGCAGATGTGGGAGGGTCCAGCCCATTGTAGGGAGTGTGACACCTGGGCTGGTGGTCCTCTATGCTGAAGGATAGCAGGCTCCTAGGCAAGCCATGAGAAGCAAGCTAGTAAGCAACACATTCCTACAGAGAGTGATTGCTCCAGCTTCCTTCAGTGATGGATGTAATAAGCTGTAAGGTGGAATGAACCAGTTACTTTTATCACAGCAAAAGAAATTCCAACTAAGACAGAGACTCTTAAATATAAAATCCAGCTGCCTGCCTGATGTGGTCTTGACACTCCTGGACTAGAGCTTCTGTGTGTGAGTCCTGAGGAGACACTTCACATCCCTGGACTACAGCTTCTGTGCGTGAGTCCTAAGGAGACACTTCAATTGGGCACCGTCAATTGCCCTAGTAAAGCACAGGTTTCACTTAAATAATGCTGGTGTCTTATTACTCACAGCGTATCCTGAAGCCTAAACTGAGCAGAAGCCTAAGTTGTCGGCACTGCTCTCAACGCCACCATCCAAGCCCCTACACTAGTAGATCTTCAAGTTCTAAGCCCTCATAGCTCAAAGCTCCACATGCTTCCACAGCCCCGCCCCCGCCCAAACAATACATCTGTGTCCATAGCAGCAACAGCCCACTCTCTGGTACCAATTTTTGTTTAGACAGACAACAGACAGAGAAAGTAGAAAGGAAACTAGCAGGAAAGAAGAGAATCAGCAAGAGTGGAGGGGACAAAAGAGGGTAATGGGGGTGATTGGGATCAAAATATACATGTATGAAGAATTGTTATAAAATGTTGTATATAATTAATATATACTAACAAGAAACCTTTTTAAAAATTTTCAAAAATTATGCATGCACTGAACATTACAGCTTTTCTTGCTGTTTATCCCCTAAACAGTTACATTAACAACTATTTACATAGCATTTAAATGTGTTAAGCATTTTAGTAACTAGAGATGGTTTGAATGAGTGTAGGGGGATGTGAACACATTATGAGCAAATGCTGCCATTCTTTATTGGGGGCCCCAAGGACTTTGTTTTGGCAATGTCACTGGGCACTGGTGTGGACCTCTCATAGATACCCAATGATAACTGATTTCTTTAACAAAAAAATCCAGTTTTCTCCGTGCCTGTCTTTAAGGTGTGGAGGTCTTTCTGTTGTCTTTACAACCTTATGAGCTACTTCCAGCTCCTCTCAGGTAGCTCCTCAGTGGGAAAAACATGGTGCGTATAGAAAAGACTCTGCTGTTCTTGCCAAATGCAGCCATGGAGCAGAGAGCTGCAGAGGCAGAGATGGGAGGGAGATCATGGCTGCACTGAGAAGTTGAGGCTTCTGGGAAGAAGAATTTCATCAAGCTGAATGTGTCATGAATTTTAAATATTGTGTCTTTGATTCTATAGAAGGAAAAAATAAGTATGTTGTCCTTTCTTGAAGTCTTGTGTCTGGTCATTATCCTGGCAACTCTTATGAATGGAAACTGATGTCCAGGGAGGAGGAAGAACACCGCTGGGGCTGTATGTCATGCCTTCTAGATAACACCATGGACTCACACTGCTGGGGGCTGCATGCCATGCCTTCTAGATAACTCCACAGACTCACGCAGGCTCTACCACCTAGCTTGAAAATGAGCATAGCAGTGTTCTATTTTGTGGATGTTTTTCATAAACTCCTCAAAGTCTTGGAAATCCAAACAGCATCCAAGTGTCAGTGTAAACAGATGACAATTCATTTGGTTATTAACTTTGGTGCTCTGTCCCACTACAACTACCAAGGAGCAGCAGTAAAGCCTAAAACAGCCAGAGCCTTCCCCATTGTTCCAAAAGTAGTTTTCTACCACATTTTATTATGGAAAACTTCAGACATAGTAATCTGAAATAAGGTTACTGTAGATACCCATGTACTTTTTACCAGATTCTTTCATTGTCACATTTCTTTAAAAGTCTTATCATGGTGTGTCTGTCTGTCCCTGTTTCCGTGAATCCAACCATGCATCTACTCATCATCTTGTCTATTTGTTTATCTACCTTTATCTATCCCTCTCCACCCACTCATCCATCATCCATCCATCATCCATTATTGCATTTATCCATCCTTCTACCCACTCATCATTCATGTGTCCATTCATCTGTACATCCCTTTATCTATCCACAAATGCACCCATCTATCACCCATTTATCCTCTCACTCACATAGTAACTCTTCTAATTTTGATGCATGCAAAATAACTCACTTACATTTTTTATTTTGTATTCTTCTGAGATAGCGTATTATAGTCCAGCCCTAGTTATAATATACATATTATATTAAAATTAAAATGATATAAATAACTCACCTGGCAATGGGTAAAGAGACACCTTGTTGGTGGTATCGCCTTATATCAGTAAGGGACAGAGCAGATGGCAGGCCTTTGCTCATCCTAGTTTGATGCCTGGTTTGGTGACCAAAATCATCTTATGTCTAGGACACATAAATATCAAATCAAATCAAATAAAACCCAGGCAGCACAGCACAGGAAGAGAAAGACAGAGATCTGCAGACTGCCATGCCACCCACAGACCTGCCCTCCAGTGCATGGCACAGGCAGGTCACAGACACCCACTTGCTACCACATTGTGCAGCACGGATGGAGGTTGTTTCCCAGCCCCTCAGCCCGAACCATCACAATGTGCAAGTATATGGTGGGCAGTTGGGGGAGGAAAAAGTAAGTGGGCAGCTTGAGCATTATGAAGAGAGATGGAATTGGAGACTCCAGGGTAGAGAAGAGTCGCCTGTTGTAAGTGTCCAGCCTATGTTAAGGCTCCAGCCCGAGCTGCCACTGAGGGCCGTGTCTGAGTCCATAAGTACACAGCACGAGGGGTCAGTGTGGATGTCGGTGACTCATGTTGTCACTAGAGAATATGGGGATCTCCCTGGTCAGGACAGTGGCAGGGAACCACATGGATGTTCAGGGGCTGTGCATAACTAGCCCCGCCTCTCACTGGATGTGGTCTTTGGGAGAGCTGGCCCCATCTCACCAGTGGCAGCATTTGGGAGAGAGGGCCCTCTACCTTGCCCAGGAAGCACAGTGGAGATGGCTCTGGTGGTGGGGATGGGGGTAAGCCAGTCCGAAGGGCATGTGTCAGGGGCAGCCCTGCTTATACACTGAAGGCCTAAAATCAGCCATAGGCCTAAAATCAGCAATAGGACTGACATACATGCCTGCTAACATAAAGTCTTGGGTCTCTGTGGAAAAACACTGAAACAGATGTCTAGAAGCTATTATAAACAAGCAGCTTTGGTGGAAAATTGCCAGGCTAAATAGCCATAGACCTTGTAGATAGGTAACCTTGGTGGATAGTACCAACTTAGATAAGGACAAGTGAATCATAGTCAGAGTCATAGTGACATGTCCCTTGAACCTTCATCCAGCTGATACTCTGTTCTGGAAGATATCTGTACTCCCCCTGAACACCCACATTTCTGCATCATCCCCTTCCCCACATCCTGCCTTTTTTGTGAATATAACCCCTGTGTGAAAAAGTAAAAATTGCAATCTGATCAGACTATAGACAGATTGTCATTTCTTGTGTTCGCCTGTTTCACCTATCTTCTCTTTCAGGTGATCTCCCCGGACAGGACAGGCATGAGTGTGGGAGAGATAACCTCATCACTCAACTGCTGCGGGGTGGCACCAGTGCAAGGTGATGCTCACCCCATCTCCCCTGCAGCTTGCCACCTCTGGCAGTTGGGAAGGCTGTCCATAAGCTCTGGAGAACTAGCCCTGGTCTCACCATTCAGTACTTGGTGGATCATGAACAGAGGTACAGGTGAACCAGAGGGAGAGAGAACAAGAGCATGAGAGAGCTGGTCCCACCACCTCTGACATGAGAGGTGACCTTAGAGAGCTGACCTGGCAGTCAGCTGACTCTGCCTCTCACTCAGAAGTGGCTGCAGTACTCGAGAGAGTGGGCCTTGAATCTCACTTTGGTGACACAGTAGTGCTGGTTCTGGTAGCAAAGGCAAGGGTAAGCCCCAAGGATGTGGGAGCAGGAGAGCTGGCCCAGCCCCTCACAGGATGTGGCACTTGGGAGATTGGGTCTCGAACTATGATTGGGCAGCACAGTGGAGCTGGTTTTGGAGGCATAGGTGCAGGTGAGATGGCCCTAAGGCCATGACAGCAGGAGATCTGACTCTGCCTCCTAACTGTGGCAGCAGCATTGAGTGGCCTAGTCAGAGCAGTGCTGGAGAGCTCGCCCTGGTAGTACAGATAAGGAGAGCTGGCTGGCTGACCAGCTCAGCTACAAACAGACCCAGATCCAGGGCTCTGAGTTAGACCAACCCAAAATCTACATCATTTGCAGATGACTGGGATGTGTGAAAGAGCCAGACCTGCTGTTCCAAAGCTGCAGGACACAGGGCAACAACAGGACAACTGGGAGGAGACCCAATGAAGATTCAATACTGATGGTGTCACAGAAGCCAAAGACCTCAAACCAGACCAAAGACTCATTGCCATGAACATTTGTAAGAGAAGTTGTGTGGTCAGAGGGATATACTATGGGACACACTGTGACACACTACAGCTTCCATGATGCGATGTTTTCTATACTTTGTGTTTTATTTTGGGGGGGTTGCAAGGGTGAAGGGTGGATATGAGGGGATGGGGAGATAAATGAGACTGGAGTACATGATATGGAATTCACAAAGAATCAATAAAGTTAAAACAATAATATAAATAGTTATTCAACTAGTTAAATAAATTCAATATTTATATTTGGGATTTCTTCTGATACATGTAATATACACATAAAATGCAAAAATATTAAATATACATTGCTGAGTTTTGATAAATAAACTTACTGATGTGACTCAAATTCCATCAAGACATAGATCTTGTGCTGGAGAGAGAACTTGCTGGTTAAAAGTACTTGCTTCTCTTGCAGAAGACTCGAGTTCATTTCTCAGCACCCACACAGTGGCTCACAACGCCTGCAGCCCCAATTCCAGAGAATCTGATGTCTTCTCCAGTCTCCACAGGAACACCTCAGACATAGGATACAGACATACATAAAGGCAAAACACTCGTATACATAAAATAAAAATACATATATCTTGTTTTGCAAAAGGATACTGAACTTGTCATGCCTTGAACCTCAATACTCAAGAGGCAGAGGCAGGTGGATCTCTATGAGTTTGAGGCCAGTCTAGTCTACTACACAGTGAGTTTCAGGCTGACCAGAGCTGCACATACTCAGTAAATAAAGAATAAAAAGGCATAAATGATGTAGAACTTTATTACCACCTCAGATGATCCCTGCTCCACTCACTGGCACCAGTCAGCAACTGTTCGGACTAGGCTAGCCATAAACTCATAGCAAGCCACTTGCCTCATCCTCTCACGTGATGGGTCACCATGCCTGGCATAGACTCCCTTCACGATGGCACCTGACTATGGAACTCCTGGAGGTAGTGATGTATGCAGTGGATTTCTCACCCAGCGCTAGCTCTCTGAGAAGGAGGAGCTGCTCCCAGACTAACCACTCCCACCCCCATGCTGGATTTAAGACTTCAGGACCAGAGTGTTGGATTATGATTGGCTTCCACAGGAGGGGCTCTCACCCTCTCTAGGCTTACCTCATGCTTGTGGCATTGGAATCTGCTCTATTCCCGTTGTGTGAAGGTTTTTGTATATTGGATAACAGTCCCTTCTCAGATAGTATGTTTTGCAAATGTTTTCTTTCTTTGTCTTTCTTTCTTGTCTATGGCTTTTTTTCACCCTCTTGATGGCATTTTAAGAAAAACTATTTTTCTCTTTCTTTTTTTTCTTTTATTTAATTGAGGAGGGGGTGTCAGTAGACAGATCATCATCATCTGGAATCTATATTTTAATAGAAGGAATAACAACAGGTATATAAATGAGAAAACACGTCACGGGAAAACCCAGGTGTGATGGTGGAAGCAGATACAGCAATATCACCATGAGTTCCAGGCCTGGCGTGCAAAGAAAGCTCCAGGCCAGGGCAGATGAGCAAGACTCCGTCTCAGCAACAACAAAACAAACAAACAAAAACAAAAAACTGGCCTCAGAAGATAAATGGTTCAGTAGGTAAAGCCTTTGTCGCACAAGTACAAAGAGTTTGTGCAATTCTCAATTGTTCACATTCCCAGAGCACACATAAGGCATGGTGAACATGTCTGTGATCTTAGGGCATCTACGCTGAGATGGGAGGTAGAGACGGGAGACTTCCCCAGAGTTAGTCTGGTGTATGCAGTGGGAAAAGCAGCCAAGCTAGTCTGTCTCGAGCAGGGTGAAAGGTTAGGACTGATCCCCAAGGTTGTCCTGGGACTGTCACGTGATCAGTTGCGCTCACATCTACATGCACATGTACTACACACATGCAAAGATATAATTGTAGAAAATCAAAACGATGAAGCATGCATGGTAGTTGTTTCAGTGGTTGAGGTTGTCAGGATGAATGCTGTCACAGGATACCTAAGAAAGCTCTCTCTGGCTGCTGTGGAGCCCTAGTGGGGCTCAGCTTATGAGCAGGCAGGAGATAGCTATAGCCACAAACTGAAAGGTGACAGGGCAGGAACTAAGGTAAAAGCAATAAAAAGGGCATGAAGGACCCCGATTTGTGGCATTCCTTCCTGACAGTCCGGTCATGGGTAGGAGCCAACGAAAAGTCTCCAGAATAAAAATCCAGGTGTGGGTGTATATAACAAAGTAAAAGGAGGGGTGAGGAGGGGGGAGACAGAAGGAAGGGACAGGGGACATGATTTGGGATGGGACTTTCATGTAAAAACTCACATAGAGGTATCCAGGTAGGCCTGTGAGTCATCCTGGAGGATGGGGTCAAAGATAGAGAAATTTGAGAGTGTGCAGTCTGCAACATTAATATACAATTCCATACTCACTCTCCAAATAGCCATATTGGTTAGCTCTGGATTTGACTGAGAAGCCGGCTTCAGTGAATAAGGCAGAAGAGTGCCAAGGATGATTCTCCAGATTAACCTTATGCCTCTACACACACATACACATGTGTGTGTATGTGCACCAACGCACATGGAAACATGTTACATGCACACTTATAGCACACCAAACACACACAAAATGAATGAAAGGAGGGGGTCCCATCTCTTTTAGTGGATATCTCAGGACCCTTTCTGCCAGGAGTGAGTATCAATTAATTTATAAAGAAAAGAGCTCACGGTTCTGAGGGCTGAGAAGCCCACAGTTGGGCTGCTGAGTCTGCCCAGTTTCTTTGATGGGTTCATGCTGCTTCAGCTCAGGCTGGAAAGAGGAAAGGAAAGTAGGCAGGGAGGAAGGAACACCTGACTTTATTCAGCCCACTCATTCACTGTCTACTTCAGCCCTAGGACAGCAAGAACTCCCTCTGTGAGAAAATTATTATCATTCAAGAGGACCTACTGATGATACCTTAAAGGTCTCACCTCTCAACATCACCAAAATGGCCATCAGACCTCAATATGAGTTTGGGAAGGGACAAACCCCAGCATCGGCCTGCACATAGTGGTCCTCTTTCAGCAGTAATCACTGCTGACTGAATGAGATGAAGGATGTTGCTTAGAGACTCATACTAGACAGAAGAGAAGTGGAGGAGGAAGAGGAAGGTTCCACTGGAGCAGAGAGGGAGAAGTCAACAGAGGAGAAAAGGATAGGAACGATGGTATCTGGTTTCCGGTTGATAGCTCAGAGAAGATGGTCCAGGAAGCTCTTCTGAACTCTCCAAGCGGCCACATCCCTGGGACTCCAGGTTTTCTTGATGCCCTGATCATCACTCTTGACCTTTTCTTCCCTCAGGAGTCATGAAACCACTTTACAATTTGACATCTGTCGCGTCTGGATCACATGATGCTGAGTGTAGGAGCCCTCTGGGACATGATGGATGGAACCTGCTCACAGCAGACGAGTGTGTCCACAGATATGTAAGATATGAGGGAAGAACAGAAACAAAGAAGCCCTGGGGAACATGCACACAGACAGACACAATCATATTACCTTTTACCTATGTCACACGCTAGACTGAAACTGTGGCCAGGGCAGGAACTAATCTCCATTCACCACTGTTATTAAGTACAATACATGACATCCACTACACCAGGGCACTTCTTTTACGAGTAATATTTAAAAAAAAAAAAAGGTTTACTGTGAGCCATTAAATGGCACAGTGGATAAAGGTACTTGTTGTAGAGACTGATGACTTCGTAGGTTTGATCCCTGGCACACGCATGATGGAAAGAGAACCAACTCGTGCAAGTTGTTTTTTGACCCCTACAACAGTGCAGCAGTGTCATGGCATGCTTCCCCTGTCTCTCACACTCACTCACACACACAATGATAATAATAATAATGATAATAATAATAAATAATAATAATAATAAATAATAGAAGATGAAGAAGAAAAAAAGAAAAATACAAATCTACTGTGATTTTTTTTTTACATAAAAATTCTTTTCCAGGCTTTACATCATTCCTCGAATTACCCTATTCTTTTTTTCATAATGTTTTTATTGATTATTTGGGAATTTCATATCATGAACCCCAAGCACCCTCACTTTCTGGTTCTCCAAGTTCTGCTCCCCAACTCCTGGAAATGCTCCCCAAAAGAAGAAAAGAAGAAAGGAAGGAAGGAAAGAAGGAAGGAAGGAAGAGAGAGAGAGAGAAAGAGAGAGAGAGAGGGAGAGAGAGAGAGAGAGAGGAAGGGAGGGAGAGAGGGAGGGAGGGAGGAAGAGAGGAGAAGAAAGTCCAGTTTGTGCTGCCCATATACTCACTGGAGCATGGTCCAACTTCCAGCGGCCAGCATCTTAGAAAAGAACCGCATCCTTCCCCACCTGCACCCCCGTCAGAAGCTTTCAGTTCTGAAGACTGTACTTCAGCATCCTTATCACGATTTTTAGAAGTTCTTTTCAATGGCTTCCTGTCTAGGGGGGTGTTGTCACAGAAGTCTGCTATATCCCTCTTTTTCAACTGTGAGTCTGCAGTCATCAGTAACATAGCAAAAGTAGCTTTCTTGCCCTTTACAGTGAGTGGGAACATGGATCATGGACTTACACATGGTTTCTGGCCACAGTATGGACCGTGGACATTCACATGGTTCCTGGTGTCAAGCAAATGCCACTAACCTCAGTGTGGTCTCCTGTGACAGTACAGGCTATAGGTATCATCGCAGCCCTTGGCAGCAGCTATGACCATGGACATCAACATGGCTTCAGGCTTCAGCACAGAAATTTCCCTACTATTGTACATTGCCTGTTAGGCTTTTGAATCATACCTAATGCCTGGGTGTGAATGAAAGTTTTTTTGTTTTTTTTTTGTTTTTTTTTTTTTTTAGAAAAGTATCATATTGAGAAGATGACAAGATAAACTGTGGAAGCCAAAGCCATGGATTTGGGCTCTGTGGACTCTGAGCCACTGGAGAAATGTGTCACTCTGCACTCTCACAAGACTGTTCTTTGTTTCAGGATGTGACACTAAAGTCCTGATGCCATTCTTGGAAAGCAGCCTGAAGAAGCAACAAGTGAACACAAAGACTGGTCTATGTTACAGTCTTTATGTTAGTTAGCTCGACTGCTTTCTCCAACTGTTACTCTCTTATG